ATTAAGATATATAAGAATATAGCGAAGATAGAAAGGAGTTAAATTCTTAAAGGTTAAGGTCTAGATAATTAGAGTAGAATATTTAAATATAGAAATATAAATCTATATACTTTAGCCTTCTATATCGATAACTATAAAAGTACTTTCTATAGTTTAATTAAGCTTCTTACCTTTCTCTTAAGCTAGAGAAGAAAGCTAGAGATAAGTAAATAGTAATTCCTAGTATTATTTAATATTTTAAGAGAATAATAGGCGTAATAGGATCTAAATTCGATAAGAAAATAACCTAATAAGAGGAACTAGTAACGTTATATAAAGAGGAATTTATTATAAGAAATAAATACGATAGGAGTAGATAATAGTAAGTAAATTAAAGGTACGTAGACTATATAGTTATATAGGTAGAAGTATATATAAAAAATAAGAAAAAAGAAGCGACTTAATCTATAAATATAGACTTCTATCGTCGACTTCTCTTTCTTCCTTCTTTATATTACTTACCTAGCCTCCTCTCTACTCGTACGATCTCTCTCTTATCTTTTATTTCTTTAAGTTATTTTCTAAATTACGATTAAAGCTATTCTACTCTCTAAACGCTTTAAATTATTATCTTTATAGCGTCGACTAATATAGTCGATAGAAAGAAGAAAGCTCCCTCTAGAAATAAATAGATATAGTATTTTAATATAGTTTCGTATAATCTAAAAGAAGTAAATTAAATTAAGTCTACTTAAAGCGGCCTACTAATTCTTATAATTACTAATCTAATCTAGCTAGCTATAGTAAGGATCCTAGATACGAAAATAATAGTTAAAATAGTTATACTAATACTATAGATTTCGATACTAATTAATAGTAGTAGAAACCTATAGAATTTAATTATAATCTTAGAAGTATTTAAAGAAATCGATACTAAGAATAAGTTATAAATCTATAGAGTCTTAAATAAAGTCTTTAGTCTATACTAAAATCTCGAAGATACTATCGACTCTTTAGTCTATAATTATATAGACCTTCGAAGTATATATTTAATTCTAGATAAAGTTCTAAAATTAAATTCCTACTATAGTCTATTAGTCTAGCGAGCCGAGAAAGTTAAGAGTAAACGAATTACGCTTAGTAAAAGAAGAGATAGAATTACTAAGAAGTTTAAGTTAAGAAGATTAAGTTTAATAGTTCTAGCGTAGATAAGTATTAAATAGCGAGATAAATTTCTATATTATTTAATTAAAGTAAGTACGTCGACTTACGATATAATTAAAGAAAATTATATAGATAATTTTAAAGAATAGGTATAGAGAAAGGTAAGAATAGTATTACTAATTAAAATTATTAAGAGAGTAAACTATTTTATAGTCTATAAATAGGCTAGACTTAGAAATATACGTCGAGACGAATTAATCGAAATTCTAGTAGATAATATTCGAAAGGCCTATAAAGAAATTAATATATATAAGAAATAAGAGTATATTACTTACCTAAAGTTCTAGGAAGTATTAGAAGAAAGATAATTAAAAGAGATTTATAGTATCTACTAGAAATATAGAGCGTTACCTAGAAACTATATTAATTTAATAAATAATAGAAGAAACTCTATATAGTCTATTAAATCTACTTTATACGTAGAGAAATAACTTATAGAAAATAATATACTAGAAATAAAAGTTAAGAAGCCTTAAGTAGAAGGCGAAGATACTAGAAATCTAGGTAGAAATCTTAAGTTCGAGGCTAGGAAATATTAATAGAAAATAAAGACTATTAAAAAAGAAGATATAAGTTCTTTTATAAGAAAATTTAAGAAAAGAATATCTTTAAAGAAGAAAGATATATTTAACTATATAACTATATAGTTAAGTTCGAAGAAGATTATACTTAATACTAGTATTTAAAAATTTCTTAATAAAGAGTTCTACGAACTAAAGAATAGAACTATTAGAAGTTCGTCTACTAGATCTATAGAATCTATATAACGACGATTTAAGAATTTATCTATAATAGAAGCTAAGATATAAAATACTAAGCTAATTATAATTCTAGCTAACTTAAAGAAACGACTAATTTTATATAGTTTAATACTTAGCCTCTTAAATCTATTAGGACTAAAGAAACTAAATAGGAATTCTATACTAATCTAAATAGTAGAAGCTAAGATAGAATACGAAATTTAAAGAATCTTTTAAGGAAATTAAGTCTTAAAGGAAGTATTAATAAATCGAGTCTTTTAGAGCTATCTAATTAAGAGCCTAACGGTAATATAGAAAGTTCTATAGAAATTAATAGTTAGATAGATAGAGAGAAGAGTTAATAACGAGGAAAAAGAATTAATTAACGATAACGAAAAGAATATATTTACGAGTTTTTCTAGGCTCTAGCTTATTAGTATTACTTTAGAACTATATATAAGTATAACTAATTATAAGGTAAAGAGTAAGAACGAAAGTAGAATAGTTAACGAGCTTAGGTAGATATTCTATAAGTTTACGATAATAATTACGCTTTTCTATACTAATCTACGAAGCGATATAGAATACTAAACGATAATCTAGATAAGTCTAAATAACTACTATAATAAGTACGATAATTTAAACTAGAAGATTCGTAGTAGTAATATACGATACGAAGGGTAGAGTCTTTAAATTAAGAACCTAGGTACTCTAGAAATTAGAAGATAGAGAACTAAGTAGCTAAACGACTCTATTATATTAATAGCTATTACCGCTATTAGAAGATATAATAATAACTAAGTCTATATTATACTATACTATATATAGAATATAATTAAATAAGGTAAACGTTATAAACTATAGAAAGGAAATAAAGACTAAACTCGTACTATTATTATTAATAAGAATCTATATTAGTTCTTAATTATCTAGAAACTAACTAAGAAAGAAAGAAAAGGTAAAGTCTTTTATCTTAACTCTATCTACGACTATAAGAAGGAAAAGAATAATAAGAACTTAATTTATTTCTACTTATTATTAGTTACCGAAGGATATCTACTAGAAGATATTATTATTAGCGATATAAAAAGTAAAAAGTAATAGAATACTAGCGACTATAAACTATAGATAATAATAAATTTTCGAGTATTCTATTATAGTAAAAATCTATAAGTAGTATAAATTAATATAGAAACGAGAATAGAAGTAGTAGATATAATTACTAAAGAAGTTAAAAACTAGAAAATAAATCTATTCTTTTTAGAAAAGACTTTTATACTAGGCGAGATAGGAAATTTTAATATATTTACTAGAGGAAAGAAGATTATAATTATTAATTCTAAGAATTTAATTAAGATTAATATATAATCTATTAGAAGTAAGATTAAAATATAATTAAAGAAGTAACTACTAAGGTAGAAGAAATTAAACTATATAACTATATAGTCGAATAATTTAGAAAGTATAAAGATAGTTTATTATATATTATTTTATTTATATTACTTTAAAAATACGATACTAGAACGTTATAATTATAGTATAGATATTTCTTTTACTACTAGTTAACTATAATTTCGTTTCGTTTAGTATTTCGTTTAAAGTTCTTTACTCTTTATAAGGTAAACGACTTATATAAGTTATCGAGAGGAACTATTATATCGTTAATCTCGACGTTACTCTCTAAGTTTTCTTTTATAATAATCGATACTACGACCTTAAGTTAACGAAAAAAATATTTAAATACTAGCTATAAAGAATTATTCTTAATATAATATAATTACTTAATATTATAATATTTCTATAGAAGTAAGGTAATTTCTCTACGAGTTAGCTAGCGAGCCTATAGTTCTAGGTATTATAGATATACTTAAGACGATTCTCTAAGTAGTAGAGCGGAGAAGAATATATTAGGGCTTAAGGCGCTTAGTTATAAGAAAAGAAAGAAAGGGCCTTAATATAGAAGAATAAGTAAGTAAGGAAGAAAGCGAATAATTAAATAAATAAGTAACGAAAGGGAGAAGAATTTAATAAACGTAAGCGGGCGTTAAGTATTAAATAGTAGTTATAAGAATATAGTTTATAGAATTAAGAACGTTTTTTCTTCTACGAGTTCGGCTATATAACTATATAGCTTAAGTTTTAGTAGTAGTAATCTTTACGAATAAAGCTATTATAGCTTTATATA